TTACCACAAAAAAAAAACACAAAGTTTTTAAACCAAAAGATCTTAAGCTAAAGCGTGTTTTGCGAACAAAATACTGAGATGTACCGGCAGCATCGTCATCTCGTCGTCTTTTAGATGACACTATGCTACTCCCCTAGGACACCAACCTCCAATTCGAGGATTGATGCGGGCTTCCCTTACGACGAACTGGGTTTTCCGAAAACCTTATTTCGCGCCCGGAGGATTTAATCGTTGGATCTTTCTTTTCTTTCTTCGTGCTCGTAAGCAGCTCGCACCAACAATACTAGGGGGCTCGTCCACTGGCCGCCTAAAGTGATCCTGATAGTGAGGGGACCCACGCAAAGTATTGTCAGCCTAATACGCGATATAAGTGCAGGGTAAGCAAGTCACCACACTTATGTCGAGAAAAATGAAAGGACTACCATGTAAACTCCTTGCGACAATTTTTATGTACTGTTACCGAATCTGTATCCCTTAAACGTTCTGCATGTTCATCTTCTCTTTCCGCACTTGCGTCTCTCAAAGCATCTATACCGTGTTTTACAGTCACGGTAACACCTTTCGACAGCAATTGACTGCAAATAAAACAAGACTTATCCATCACGATGGGTAATTAAATCACAAAACGTCTAGATTTCTTGCTAACTAGATTTAAACTAACTTACATCGATTGAATGCGATTGACCGGTCGAACATAGTTGACAGATAACCAATGAAACAAATGTCATTCATTTGGCAACCAATCGTTATTGAATGACGTTCATGACTTTTGACCTTGAATATCTGAAAACGCAAGCGCGATATTGATGGGGACTTTTAAGACATTATTTCTTGAGGTAAAATAAAGGTGTAGACAAAATTTAGGCTCACTCGGATTTTTTCAGCAGATTCTGCTTTTTTTGGCCTAATATAACCGGAGTATTTAAACGTGACTGAGCTCTAATTTGAAAAACTATGTTTTTCTAAACATTACCCGCTGTATTAATTTAAGCATACAATCTAAAATTCTGATTTTTTGCACACTTATACTTGAAGCATGAGCGCTTCTAATGACAGTTCAGAAATTTCGAAAAACCTCAAGGTTTTTTTGTTAAAAAGTTAGGAATATAGAATTATCAAAATCGTGCATCTAAAACTTCACCCTGCGGCGAGCAATGTGTATTATTGAAAATTTCTATACAAATATATCGAATCAAATGTAGTAAAAACATTGACGAAGTTTTAAAAAAAAAAATTAAGGTGCTAACTTTAACGGTTATAGAAATATAAATTTTTATCCAAGCGCTCATCAGCCCATCGTGAACCGCGTCGCGACGGAATTATTCGTGCATTCACCGAGAGGTGCATTTTCTGATTTTTCCAGTTTTGTGCATTCGTATGCGAAAAATAGCTAAGTCTGATTTATTATCAAAGTTTGAACCATATTCAACAGTTGCTTCTCTTCGAACTGATGTTAAACAAGGGTGTGACTAAAAAAAGCAACTTAAGCTACTTAAATCAAGAAAAAAAAATCTAGGATCTCCCGTGGAAACCGTAGTCTTTCATTCAACATACTATCCGAGAAAATTCTTCATGAAAATAAATTTTGCGGGAGCTTGTGACGTCAGACCGGCTAACCTCCGAAATCATAGCCTTCTGTTTGTTCAGTGGTTGAACCGTGCCCTATACTTTAAATGGTTGCAATTTGCTTTAAGTGAGATCGTTGACTTTTGTCTTGGAAAATTTCACACATATTTTAACTGTGCCTCTGAAGCCAGTGTGACGTCACAGCCTAGGCATTTGTCACTTTGAACCACCCTTATACTCGAAAACGGGATCGTAGCAAGATGCAGTTCAAATATTTGTTCTTAGATTTTTTCGCACTAAAACTTAATTTTTGGGTCACACCCCCTTCAATTCACTTATAATAGATGGCATGGTACTTATTCAAGGACTAAATGATAAAGCATTTTCAACTTAACTTTCAATGAACTCGCATGTATTTTTCTGAAGCAAATTCTTTCACTTGATCGAAGGTATGAAGCACTGAGGATAACGGTGGTTTTTAATAGATGAATCGGTCAAGTCTTTGGAAAGACGCAGAAGAAGTAACTTCGCAGATACGTATGCGTATGAAGTTTCTGGAAAGAGAAAAATGATGAAGTTTCGGAATTTTTTAAAATTGTCAGAAAATGAAGAATCCCTATTGGTAGGTAACTGATTATATTTTGGAACATTTGGCTTACAAATAGAAGAAACTCTAATCATCGCTGGTGGTTTTGAAAATCCAGAGTTATGCTTTTCTGTCAACAAGGATGGTGTAACCGTGTAACCGAATTAAAAGATTTGAAATCGAATCATGATGACACTGATGCACGACTTATAATCCACGTCTTATATGAATATCAGATACTTCACCAAAAAAAAGTGTTGGTGAAGTCTGCAGATGCAAATGTTCTGGTATTACTTATGTACCACTATTCTGAATTTTTTGAAGTAAGTTCTTTGAAAGAAACCTACCTTTTTATGGAATTAGGACAAGGGAATAAAAAACGGATCATTCCAATAAATAGTGCAGAAACTGGAAAATGAAGTTTATAAATGTTTACCAGCGTTGCATGTGTCAACAGGATGCGATACCACAAATGCAAAGGAAAAAAATGTATTTTCTAAAAATCTTGGAACCTTATATTGCCACCAAATTTGCATTGGCCCTATTCAGAAATAAGAACGAGGCCCTAAAAACCCTCGATGAATTGAGATATCAATTGACCACAACTTCCAATAAATCCGCTTCTGAACTTATACCCACAGATTCACAGATGATGCATTTTACCAGCATGTACTGAGCTAGGTGTATATATAACAAAAGAAGCTGTATTTATGCGATAAACAAAATTTCAGGTGCATATAATAACTGCGTATATGGATATCCATTCATATACCTATTATGCCTATGCTTGACCCTGTTAACTTTGGTTGGACTAGGAGTAATGGAATTTTTGAGCCTGTTTTGATGACTGCTGATCCCATACCAATGGATATAAGGCAAATAATGAATGTCTTCTGCGAAGATAAATTATGTCAAAATAATAAATCTGTCTGCTTGAAAGAGGGTTTAACATGCTGCAGCGATTGTTCCTGCAAAAGTTGTCAAAATAATGTTCCTGATTTATATGAGGATGACGAAGGAGAAAATATTTGAACTAACTTCATAAAAAAGGATTCAATTAATTACTTTATGTTTATAGATTTTCTTATTTTATTTCTAGATGTAACGCTAACGCACTAACGCAGATGATTTCCAGAATGGTAGCCGCTAGCCGCTTTCAGCATCAGAGCGCATTTCAAAGCTCCCGGATAAAAATTCATATTTCTATAACCGTTAAAGTTAGCGACTTAATTTTTTTTTTCAAAAACTTCGTCAATGTTTTTACTAAATTTGATTCGATATATATGTATAGAAATTTTCAATAATTCACATTGCTAGCCGCAGGGTGAAGTTTTAGATGCACGATTTTGATAATTCTATATTCCTAACTTTTTAACAAAAAAACCTTAAACCTTTTCGAAATTTCTGAACTGTCATCAGAAGCGCCATGTTTCAAGTATAAGTGTTAGTGTTATGCCCAAATTAATACAGCGGGTAATGTTTTTAAGCAGTCAGTTTAAGGGCCGATTTAAAAGTTTAAGGGGATGAGCTCAGTCACGTTTAAGGGCCGATTTAAAAGTTCAGTCCTACTAAAAAAAGTTGTACATTCCCATTTCCTATGCCCCAGAGTGTCCTCTACAAGATGATATAGGTTTCATCTGGTTATACCTCGGAATCACTCAAAGTCATAATTTCATTGTGATTTTACTCAACTACATCCCAACATAAGGCACATCCGGAAACCATCCATTCTCGTCTCTCGATATTTGGACGAAAGGGATCGCACATAAGAACTGGTAGATTCCAGCCTAGAATCCAGGCAGAAAAGGGACTATAATCGTCGTCAAAGGTGCAGCACACGTATTGACCTGTGGGGTCTTGATTCTAGTAGGGTAGGAAGCCCTTCAAAGGTTCAATGTCATGCTCCACGGAAATGGTGTTGATTTGAAAATGTGGCCTTTTTTGGAATGGACTTGATGGGGAAATCGGCCGTTCGAAAGACCCTAAGTAATAATGCATTCCTTGAAAAGCAATTACTTATAAAACTTGAAAGAACTTACTACGTTTTTGGGTGGGAATTCAAACTTAAATCAAACCGCAATCACGAGACTTTTTGAATCGAATTTTTCTTAAATCGACAGTATTGCCACACGCAACTTTAATTCGTTAAACAAGGCAACGCCCAAAGGCCGGTAAGATATATTTTTTTTCCGATCAGCACTTTCAACCAATCAACCGTTCAGTTCAACGAGACAATTCAAAAGGGATCCGAATCGATTTCCTATGGGCCAGGTAAGTACAGATACAGCGCTTCCTCTCCAGATAGCCACGGAAATTGTTGGTACTAACCAATATGTCAAATTTAAAAGAAAATTGTGCCCTCTAGTGTAATAATTTAATAATTGCTATATAATAAATAGCGGGAACCCTGTACTCTTTAAATGTCAGTCACCAGACTGTCAACATTTAAAAGGGTTATATGTTAAATTTGAAAGAAAAAAGGACAAGTAACTTTAAACGTTACAACTTTTATAGAGGCAATTCCTATTTTAGTTTCACCTAACAGCATTTTATCGACCGACTGTTTATCAAGAAAAGTCAACTTGCAATAAAACATAATAACAATTCCATGAAATATTCTTCCTATTCCCTTTGTGCTCTGCCATACCTAGTTTCATTATATTGTTTAACTTTCCAATCCAATTATGTTACCCTGAAAATATTCCCAAACATTTAGCTTTTAGGTCTCTTATGTATTTTTCACATCGGCTCATGAAACTTCCAGTTTGAAAATGCAACGCCTACCTATTGATTTTAGAAGATGGGCACGTCACTGTTTAAATTTCATAAACTAGGTTTGAAACCCTACCTTAAGTCCCTTTGCACGATTTATGGCCCTGAGAGGCCTCAGTACTCGCAATACTCTAAGAATTTTCACTACTGACATTGCTCCTTGACTAAAAATTAAAAAGAGTCTCAATCAATTAAATGAATAAAATAAAATAAATTGCAGTTTCAACCAGCTAATTAATCCTGAATAGATCCTACTCAGACCCATAGCAAAATAAATTTTATACTTTTGAAAAGTTATACCTTCATTTTGTTTTCATAATAAATTAGATATATGTATTATGATACGTCTCTTGTTCCTTGCGACTATTCTTTTTATTTTTAGTTCCAAGTATTCAGTAAAAAATATTTCTTTCTCTGTCGACATCGAAGTTGGCTTTTTAGTCAAAGAAAAACAAAACCAGGAAAAACGTATTTCATTTTCCTCTCCAACAGAAGACAAATTGAGCTTTAAACTTACTTAATTAATTAGGAAAACAATTATAGCTTTGTGAATTGTTGTAGCTTCAACCTTTCATTTGCAATTCGAGCTGAACTGTTTTTATTTGTAGTATCAAATAGAAATTTATAATAGGTTTGCAAATTTCAATATCCAATAAATGAGTTTTATAAAATACCTGTAAAATTTTAAAACTAAAAACTTGCCTGTTAAAGATTGAGACCAATGAAACGCAAACGACAACTAAATCCAAAACGTTGAAGGCAGATCGAAAAAAGGCCCCCTGGTGGAGAATACATCCATACGAAATAGTCTTTAAAAGTAATTCTATTGAAAATATGCCAGTAAAAAGGTAGTCAAACATGGATAAAACCTGAAAAAAACACATTCATGAAATAATCTAACTTACCAATAAATTTCCTATACTTGCTTCAGCTTTTTTATTGTCTTTATCTGGAATTGGGTCTTCTAAGGCTAGTAGAGCAGATGAAACCAAGATGCAGACCAAAATTAAATTGCTAAAATACGAGTGGTTGCATAACCAATGGCATAATACACGGAACCTAAAAATTTGAAATAAAATGCGATGAGTAAATTGAAATAAGCCATCAAAAAACTAACAACCAATTCTCATGTAAGCATCTATAATAGTAATGTGTAGCATCTCCTTGTGTATTATGTTCATTACCATGGTGGTAGCGTTATCGAAAATATGGACCGTTTCATTTATTAAAATTGACCTATTCTACGAAAAGAAAATATCACAAAACACTCTATCTGTTGGATTCAACTAAGTAGAAATGGAGATTCTCTGTCCAAATGTCGGTTCCTGATTTAAAAAGGATTCCTGACAATTGTCATGATAAGCGTGCCGCTCCTTTATTCTACTTGGTTGATATGTGTTCGTGTTGTGTAGATCTACTCAGGTTAGGACTCGGATGCGCACTAATTTCTTTAGTGCGGAACCACATTTCAGAGTCGGAATGGGGGAGGAAAAAGCAATAACACGCTGAGACCTATTTTTTTTCACCTGTTCGTAGGAGAAAATATGAAGAAAGACGAAGCAGGGGGAATCGGTAAATTCTGGTTATTTTGTTTAATTTCAGACATGCGTCGTGGCCGCGACCCAACTTGGCTACCCTCTTCATCTCCAATATCTGCAATGTCACACGCACACTTATTACTAAAAGCTTAAATATAACATAGCTGCAGGATGTAGCTCCATGGGGCTTAATTTAATTTTATCATCTCTAAACTGATGGGGACGTTTGCACGGGTTTCCCTTGAATCTGCTACTTTGCAAAGTGTCGCTTAGATTTAGGGTTTCCCTTTATTTTATATACTTCGCAACTTTCGGCTACGCGGCAGACATTGATGGTAACGTCGCTTTTTTTAGTTTTTTTTTGCCGCCTTTCGTTCGTAAAGCGACATTTAAATTTTTTAAATTGAAAATTCGCCAATTTCACTTGCAGTGAAAAAGGTTTATGCTACAATTTCTTCATTCAAAAATATGGTTAAAATTATGTGAAACAAGACGGCGAAGGTTACTTGGCGCTCGAAGGAGAAGACATGGCTCAGCTTTTTAATTCCCAATCCACCGAAAGTAGATTCAGATCCAAGGATTCATCAGGAAACCATTACGAATATTGGGGGAAAAAAAAAACATGGAAAAGAGGTCGTTCAGTTGAGTTGAGTCTACAGAATGTAGTCGGACCACCAATATTTCACATACTAGGCATCCTCAATCTTTCACAGAAATTTTCCTCGTCGGAATTATTGAAATAATTATCTACCGATATCTTCCCTACAGTCTTTTCGGCAGCCCATTTATAACGCAAACTAGCTCTTCTTGCTCTTCATGATACCGTAACAGCTCCATGCCATGTCCATGTTTATGGAGTTTATACAAAAATATTGGTATATCCAGAATAAACACCACGCAAACTACCTATAAGTTCAAAATAATCGAAAATTTGTTTGAAGAAAACGCTAAAACGGTAGATTTATCCTATAGGTAAGTTCAACTTAAGTGGGCATTCACACCAAAGTAGCATACGACGTGCGACTTGCTGCTAGAAAGCTGTGTCCTTATTCTTGAAACAGAGGAGCAGCGTTCCCAGGAGAACGAGTGTTTCGTCTTTCTCAACGATATGCAACTAATAATATAAGTAACAAAGACGGAACACTCGTTCTCTTGGGAACGCTGCTTCCCCGTTTCAAGAATCGGGACACAGGAAGCACGTTGCAACTTGCGTTTTTCCTGTCATTTTGCCACGTCGCATTTTTGTGACGCAACTCCGGTGTGAAACCAGCCATATATTTCTAAATGTTCTAAAATAAGTAGCATGCTTTTTGGTTTCTAGCAGCAAGTCGGATGTCGCATGCTACTTTGGTGTGAATACCCACCTAAGGCAAAGAATTCCTCGGCTTATCTGAAATCTCGCGAAGCGACACTCAAATCAAAAATAGAGGTTCTCGAAAACGAAATAAATAAATAAAGCGCCGCTTAGCGCTGAGCGGAACTTAAGTGTAACCCGTGCAAACGGCCCTTTATCTTGACTTACGTTGCCCAAACTTGACTTTCTATCGACCGTTTAAATAAATTATAGGGTATTCAAAATAAGACTGAAAACAAAATATAATCAGGTACTTAAAAATACCCAATCGAAAAAATGCTATTGCTAGAAGTTTATTTGAAAATTATATTTAGGTATTTTAATTCTGCAGCTATGTTCTGTTCACTAAAGCGTACCTGTTTCTATAGGTAAATATAAAAAAGGCACTGCCTTTTGGAATGGGCTTGATTTTCTTAATTATAGTGACCTCGGACAACCTTCGAGGTCTAGCCGATTCTTTGGGAATCACCACATCATCATCGTCCAAATCCCCGTCTAAAAATTATTTTTATGGTTTTTTGGTTTTTTTTTCTAATCCCTTCCTCACCCCTAAGCTTAAAAGAAATAATAGTTAAATTAGATTTAGAAAACTATTACCTTCGTTTTGTTCAACATCTTCGTCTTCTTCTTCGTCATCCATACCAATTTTTGTATGGGACTTTGTTTCTTCGTCTTCATCGTGGTATGATCTAAAATATAATTTTTAATCAGAAGCAAAGAATTCAAAATAAAATGAACCAACCTTTCTGAATATTGCTCGTCTTCCATTTCATCATCTAAGCTTTGTTCTTCTTCAACTTCTTCTTCCTCCTGAATAGGAGTGGGACTTTTAGATCTTTTTTCCTCTAGCTCTTTCTCTTCTTCTTCTTTTTCAATTGCTGTTAAAGATTCTGCATCTGCTAAATTATCCACAGCGATGGCCAAGAACACATTTAGAAGAATATCTGTGATTTTTTAGTTAAGAAAAAAATATTGCTACGGAAGAGCCGATGCCAGTCTGGACCAGTGCAGGAAGTTTCAGGAATTCCTTCCCATTGTCTACTGTGTGCAATAAATAAGCAAAAATTTACGAGAACTCCAGAGATTTCTCGGTTGTCTCGAATCGTATATAAAGGGCATAGTTTGTAATTTGATGTCAGTTTACCCAAATAAGAGAATGGTTCGTGAAAATACCAAGTGATTTTTTTTTTTTAGCTAAAACACTGTCGTTGTCCATGGCAATGATGGAACCTTTAGGAATCGATGTTATCATTTGTCAAGTCAACCACGTTTCGTCCAAGTAATAAATGTTTTTTTGTTCTCTTCTGTACTTTCTAATATCGCTTAGCTATTGTCTTCTCCAACAGATTATATATTCTTTGTCAATCAAAATCGATTTTCTGCTCTGCATTGGGTTTGAAGCCAAAAAACAAGTTCACAAATGAATTTTTTGGAAAGTTCTTGCACGCTTTATAGTGTTCTATTTGAAAACCCGAAGTGACAAGAAAAGTAAGTTTATCACCTACTGGCTTTGACATCGGAAAATAAAACATCTGATTTTTCTAGAACGTTCGACATCCTACTGTATTTGAAAAGGTGCGGGAATTTTGAATTCGCTACAGAATCTTATATTTTAAATCATGTCTCATAATGAACAATACAGAATATTCTATGGTGGGCACACGACAGAAAACAGCCGGAATAGAGCAAGTGAATCAAAAGTTGCTGGACTCAATGACAAAAAGAAAAATAGGAAGAAGAAGGCCAATGACAGGAAGAAACAAATGAAGAAGAACAATATGACCGGCTAACAGCATTTTTATAATCACGAGAATATCAGGGCCGTCATGCAGCACTTCTACAGCCTAAAAAAAATCATAAATCAACAGAAAAACAAAAAAACAGGATCGGCTGCAGAAAATTTTGGAAATTTCAGCGAGAATGTTTTCAAACCGTAAGCTCTGAGGAACAAACTACACTCGAGAAAAGTCCTAAATTCAGAAATGCCATGTAAGAAGTATGTGAATAAGTTAGGAGTGTTCATCAGGAAGTTGGAATTTTCATCCTAGAAATGGTAAGTGTTTAGCAGAAACATAAAATATTGGAATTTGATCAGGAAATGTCTCAGCTTCGCTTGCAACTGGTATTAAAGTGAAACCACCGCCGTACAGGGTATTTGATTATAATTAGGCCCGTATGGGGTGTAGGTATCTACAGCCTTCACTATTTAAGATAGAAAAAAATTTCAAATAGAAAACTTGACAGTATTTTCCTATATTTTCTTTTAACACTATCAGAAAAAACATAATCGCCTCGAAAATAGAGAAACGTAGACAACTTCGACTTTTTTAAATGGAACACCCCTGTATGTTATGCGATAAAATGAAAGATCTTTTCTTCCCGATTCCAAATATACATATATGTATATAAACTTACGTGCATAGAAATCGGCCCACTACTAACTTTTGACTTCAACTACATTTTTTTTAAAACTATTGATGAGATTAAAAAAAAGAAATATGCCATTTGAAGAACACTTTAATATCATCTAATATGAGTTGAAATTATGTACTACGTATAATAATACTCCTATGAATAGTTTCTAAAAAAAAAATAGGTGATCAAAAGTTAGCAGTGGGCCGTTTTTGTGCACTGTGTATATTGATCACATTGGCGTGAGCCATTTTTGACATATCTTATATCTTAGCTTAAATTATAAATAAACTGCAAAGACATTGTATAAAGATAGAGATCCTTATGGAATTTCTTTGCAAATTATTTATAGTTTCAACCTAAGATATGTCAAAAATGGCTCACGCAAATGTGATCAATATACATATATAGGTATATTTAGAATCCAGAAGAAAACATCTTTCATTTTATTGCATAATATACAAGGTGTTCCATTAAAAAAGGTCGAAGTTTTCTATGTTTCTCCATTTTCCGATACGATTTTGTTTTTTCTGATAACGTTAAAAGAAAAAATAGAAAAAAAGTGTCAAGTTTTGTATTTAATTTTTTTCTATCTTAAATACTAAAGGCTGTAGGTATGGGCTTAAATATAATCAAATACCCTGTACGATAGTCAAAGATCGTAGGCGATGTACAGACGTCAGTTCCAGACTATTGCAATGGCTTATGGTTGGAGCTACTGATCCAGAAGGTCGATATTATCCTTGAAGCAGACGCTCTACAGATTTCTAGGATAAGAAATACTACGAGCGCTACGACCGTCGCAGGCGCAAACAAGGTAGTTGGCATTATGGCAGTCAACAAGGAACAGGCGGCCTTCTTCTAGTTTCCATGACACCAGTCCGTGGGAAGAAGAATCACGAAGACGTGTGGGTAGACCTGGATGAACAGAAAGTAGTACTGTTGGTAATAAGGAGATTAAGACGGGTGGATAGGATGATTATGTATCTGAGAGGAGATATAGACGTGGAAGAGAAGGTGGTGCCGCTCGACTCGTTGCAGGCTTATCACGTAAATGAATGGGCAGATGTGGATGATTTGATCTGGGAGGGAGGAAGTATTAGGAAGTCATATTGTGCGGAAAAGCCAACGTCCAACGAAGCTGTGCGCAACCGGTGCGAGAATATTCAGGGACTCGTTCCTACTATGTGCATTAAATAAACAAAAATGTTCGAGAATAGTATTTACTCGTTTCGTATAAAAAGCACGTAGTATGTGAGTTGCGGTCATTGTATAAGATAATTGTTGTATAAAGTTAGATAGAAACGATAAGTGATTAGCGAATATTGTGGTTGATTAGTTCAATAAAAATTATTGTTATAAAAGGATACAGTTACCACAAATAAAAAGGATGATGTAATATATACATGCTAATGCTCCAAAACCTTTAACACCTCCATACGCTTCGATTCCTTCGTACATAACGGCATTCCAATCCTCACCAGTAAGTATCTGAAATCAACAGTATAGATAAAAGTATGCTATTTGGGAGTGCAAAACTTGTTTGTTTTTATACCTGGAATACCGTTAACAAACTTTGCCAAAAACTATCAAAGTTATATCTCGTTTTCTCTTCGGTTTTTCGATTGAATCTGCCACCAAATACTTGCATTCCCAATAGGGCAAAAATAACGATAAACAAAAACAGCAGAAGCAACAACGATGCAATTGATTGAATTGAATTTAATAACGAAGCCACCAAATTTGATAATGACCGCCAATATCTGGAAACAAAATACTGACTGTGATACCTGATTGGTGACTTTTAAAAAGTAGGTACATTTCTAAATATTTTTTTAAATCTGAATATAAGGAATAGGTATGCTAGAACTATGGTACTCACTTTGTCACCTTGAAAACCCGTAACAATCTTACACAACGTAACACAGAAATACCCAGTGGGGGCATAATATTGGTATGCGTCAAAACCATTTCGGTTATACTTCCAATGACAACAAAACAATCGAAACGATTAAACAACGATACAAAATAACCCTAAAAAGAAATATAATTATTTTTTCGAAGTATTAGAATAATTGACTTAAGAAATACTTACTTGAAAACCCAAACTATACATCTTTAACAGCATTTCTAAAGTGAACAGGGCTATAAAAAACATATTTGTGTATTCTAAAAAAAAACAAGAGGATTGGGGCCATTTATAAATAATAGCAACTCCTACCTTGGAAATCATCCAACCATGGAGGTTGTTCATAGTGTTCTGTCGCCAAAACACCAGTATTTAAAAATACTAAAACAATAATTAACCAATAAAACGTTTGTGATTTGACAGCTTTTCTACAGGCCCTACGTATCCGCCTGTTAACTCTGTCAAAGTCTTTTTTCTTTTTAGTCGACCAAGACTCTTGCTGGATCTCCTCTTCTCCCAGCTGATCAGTTGAGGCCATTTCGTTGGCCATGTTGTTTCTTTGGTCTTGGTTTTGTTGGTCCTCTCCTTCGGGCTCAATGTCCTCAGCTTGGGTAATCCAGTCTAAATACCCTCGGAGATCTTCTTCTAACTGTTGCTTTTCTCTGAGCTTGTGAAAGTCACCCCTGGCTTTTGCTTTTTCTCTTTCTTTGGAAAACTCTCCGCTGAGGACACCAAGAATTAAATTCATAACAAAAAAGGCTCCTAATATAACCATAGAAACAAAATATGACCACTGCCATTCACGGCCTAGTGCATCTTGTATCTAAAATATTGTTAAAAAATATTTAATTTTAGAAAATAAATATGATAAAAAACACTTACATTGTAAAGTACATCCGTCCATCCTTCGAGTGTAATACATTGAAATACTGTTAGCATAGCTAAACCAAAATTATCGAAATTCGTAATTCCTGAATTTGGCCCTTCCCATTCATATCTACAAGTATATTCTGCAGATATATCTTTGCAATCAAATCCATCTCCACATGGATGGGCCCCTTCCATTTGATCCCCTAGAAATTATTTGCAACTTAAAAATTGATTATCGAATGCACATATCAACGAATTACCTGTGCTGTTATGAAAACAAGTCTTATGCATCTGTCCTGAGAATAACTCTAGTCCAATAATGGCGTAAATAATAATAACAAATAATACCAATAGAGCAATATGTAATAAAGGCACCATGGCACGAAGAATTGAATTTAAGACAACCTGTAAACCTGAAAAACAACCGTATTGTTATGCTCACTTGAAAAAATGGGAGAATGTCAAAAATAGTATACTGATCAAAGCGAAAAAGCAGCCACTTCAGTAATTTAATATAATTTCTCTGTATTGCATCAAAAAGAAAAATGTCTGTTTTCCCAGCAGACACGCATTTCCATATGAAACCAAAAAGGTTGTTTTCATCAGGGTTTGTTTACTTATTCGATAAAAAATTACAAGTTTGTAAATTTGCTCTAAAATATTTAAATAGAAAGATGAAATAATTTCGTTAAAAACTATGAACATATTCAGAAGTGGCTCCTTTCGTGTTGATCAGTGTATATTGTAGACCTAGGCGGTAAAGTGACATTTTGCCAGGCTGAAAGAAGAAATGTAAACTCGAACACTTCTTGAAGCCTGGAAAATTACTTTGCCACCATGCCGGCAAAGTAATTTTCCAGGCTCACACTTTATTTTTCTGCCACCACCACTTTTAATTGTAGCTAATCGCATGGTTTTTTTTTATATCTCTTGATTTTCTAATGATTTCAATTTCAAACTTCCACAACGCGCTCGTTTTGTGACAAATGCCTAACTGTCACATTTGTCCGTCAACTTTTCGCAGAAATCTATATTAGATGGTTAAATAATATTAAAAATGTAGTTCATGATAAATTAAGCCAATTTTAGTATTAATAAATATGAGATCAAATTGGATGCGAATTCCGTTCTCGCGCGGTCGATTCGATGTATGTGTGCTAATTCAAGTCTTAATTTAGCACTTTCGTAAGATATACATCATTGTTAGTTTTTTAGGCGTGCCATGAATGTACTAAATTAGCACTAATTATGAGGTACTAGATTTTCAAAGATTCGACCTTATCCAACTAGAGTGTGCTAGCTTAATCTTAAGTTGGCACACATGCACGTAATTTTTTTAAAAATTGAGTTATAATTTTTTTTTCGTACTAAATTAGCACTAAATAGGCCCGAATTTAGTACTCTAGTTTTTCTGATGTGTGCCATTTCCGTTGTGCTAATTTTTGAGACCTAAATTAGTTTGTTAATTTATAAATCGATTAGATTCCAAGTGAACAATATTGCTAATTTCTTATTTCAAAAATTCATCAAATTACACTTCAAAACATTTATTACAACATTCGAAAGTTTGATGATTGTATATTACAAAAAATGCTTAATGTATAATAATAATGTGATAATACTTACTGGGGACTCCAGAAACAAGTCTCAAAGGACGTAATACCCTAAATGCCCTTAGAGCTTTCACGTCGAAGCTGTCTCTTGTTAAAAATGAGAGGGCCGTGCTTATCATACTGAAAATAAAGCAATAGTTTAAAATGCGCCACTACGAACAGGTGTTTTCAAGCATGTGTGCCATAAGTTACAAGTATCATCATGCCAAGCAGTGAGTTCTAATACCTATTTAAGGCATTGCTTAAACTTAATTTTATTCATCGTACCAATTCGCTGGTCTGGAAGTATCTCGAAATATAATTTTTTTAATAATAATAATAATAATAATAATAATGACTTTATTGCTACTAATACTACATGTAATATCTCAAAAGGCGAAGTTGAAGCTTAGCTTCCTATCTTAACCCATCTCTCCTAAGCTAAATTAACCTAAACTTTTTGTGGCAACGTCTATCAAAGTCATTTAATTATGTGGTACATAATATTTCAATAATATTAGAATGATGGTAATTATACACATTATAAAATCGAAAGAACATATTCTGTATGAGTACAATAATTATTCATAGGAATAATGAGATAATCTTACAAATTTCATTTTCAAATTTCAAGCTATCGCCTCCCTTCAAACTATCTGAAACTTTATTGTAACAACTATAGACCTGGTAACTAAATGATCCCTTATATTGTTCGGTTCTATGCAGATATTTGTTGTTTATGCCTCAAATCCAAGTTATGAGCATCGTACCTGAATTTTATCTTTTGGTATAAATGGTCTGAACATTTTTTTAAAGATTATTTTGTTGAAGAATACTAGACTATGAAACAGTCTTCTCTCTTTCATGGAAAGCCACCCAATTTCTTTCATTTTTGCAGTCACATCCCTATGATACTTTTTTATACTACCACTAAGCCGGACACAGTGATTCTGAATACGCAGTATACGTTTCGCATCATGTTCAAGAAGACATGGGCCATATACTGCATCACAAAATGTGAATTGTGACAGAACTAAGCTGTCGCGCAAAAGTTTTTTTAGTTTTTTATTTATTAAATGGCGCTGGCTATATATAAGTTTTAGATTGGTAAACGCCTTTTTAATGCAATGATTTAAATGTGTTGTAAATTTTAAGTCTACGTACATTACTAGACCCAAGTTCCTGGCATTATCCGAGTTTTCTATTTTCTCTGTACCTACAAAAATGTTAAAGTGGTTTGAATATTGATTTCTTATAGATTCACGTCCAAAAACTAGCATCTGGCATTTTTTGGGGTTCAGTTTCAAACAGTGTTTTACGGGGGCATTTACCAAGAATCCCAGATCCTCATTAAGTTTATTGTTACCCTGCAAAATTTACTCTGGCTTAAAACTCAGATATATTTGTGAATCATCAGCGTAAAGATGTAATTTTGAATATCTAAGGTAGATACAGAGCTGGGATGTATAGATACTGAACAAAAGAGGCCCCCCAAGATAGACCCTTGTGTAACGCCACTCCTACCTATTATTTATTGGCTTGGAATCTTGTCCATTCAGTTTCACAGACTGTAGGCGTCCCGCAACTCTTTATCATAAGACAGGCATCACTGCTAAACCCTATAGATATGTTGGGGTGGCTAAAAGTAAGTGATGATTCATCTTGTCAAATGCTTTAAAGTAGTCTAACAAGACAAGTACAGTAAGCTCACCGAGGTCTGTCGCCTCCAAGATGTTGTCGGTCACTTCTGAGAGAGCAGTGGTACAGATGTGATCCTTGCGAAATCCTGACTGTATGGGTGGTAACAGCTTATGGGTTTCAATGTACCTACGTATCTGAGCATCTAGGACACTTTCGAGGATCTTTGTCATAGTTGGCAAGATGCTTATGAGTCGAAGGTCTTTCAGTTCGCTTGGGTTTGAAACCTTTGGAATCGGGAGCAAAATAGATCTTTTCCATAGATCAGGAAAGGTATGGGTTTCTATACAGCTATTGACCAGATGTAAAATAATTGGTAGGATATGTGGACAACAGTGACAGAGCATTTCAATTCCAATAGCATCCGTACCAATGGCCTCAGATTTTATGGAGATCAATGCCCTCTCAATATCGTCCACACTAGCCAAGTTAGAATTAAGGTTACCCGCGTTGTCACTTTTATTTTGCAGATAAAAATTTAAGGTGTCTGAATCTGGATTTTTTGAGACGGCTGCGTCGATAGAGTACCGGTTGATCTTTTCCACGTCTGCTAGGGCAACCGGAACGGTGTTTTTGGGCTTAGAGTATATTTTTCGAGTTGCTGACTGTAATGTTATTGGTAAGGTGCTGCTTTTTGGCATTCTTTACTGCAATCGTCACCTGGCTACGAATTAGTTTGTATTTATGCCAGTTTTCAGGAGATTTATTTATTTTTATATTTATTGAGGGCTCTTTTTCGGAGGCACATAGCGTTTTTTATCACCTGGGTAAGCCAGGGTGCTTTTCTTTTCGAGATACGAGCTGTTTGAATCGGTGCATATATGTTAAATAGTTCAGTCAGCTAGGCATTGAACAATTCGAGTTTTCCCTTAATGTCGCGAGTATAAAATATTCCATAGAATGGGGTAGACAAAAGGTCATCACAAAAGTGTTCTTTATTAAAATTACGAAAGTTCCTGTAACTCAAGGAAAAAGGTTTTTGTTTGAATATATGTAGTTTTAATAATTCACATTTGATTAAGATATCAGAGATCAGAGATATTAAAGTAGGATAAACTTCACTACTGACCAGAAACTCGGAGTTGGAATATATAATAAAATCAATTGGAGTCGCATTTGTTTGACAGAATCTAGTAGGCTCATTTATAATTTGTTTCATACTGTAAGAATGCAGAACTAAAAAAAAAACTTTGGGTATATACCAAGTCTAAGTTTAACCAAAGAATATTATAGACTAACGTCTCTAGAAGTCTCGTCCGTATTCTTATTTTTGATACCTCGATGGACGCCGGCTTTTGCCGGTGTGGACGCCGGCTCGAGTCTATTGCCCACTGTTGCCGAGTTGTCAGTGCTGTTGATTCGGCGTCCAGCCAGCGAGCCAGCGTCCGTATCCGCTTCTCTGAATGAAGTTATTAGAGTAAAATATTTGCTTTGCATGCATAGGGAGACAGACGCGTGCCAAGAGGAATTAGGAAGTTAAACATATATTTTCTAACATATTTTATAATTTACCAACGAATATCATAGATGGATGCTAGTCTATCATTTTCTTTAGGTTTTTTCAGTATATTTGGCGAATTTGCCACTTAAAAATTTATGTTTAATTTCGAAATATGAATTATTATTTTTTTTTTCCAGTAGATCGGTTTATTTACCAACAAGTAAATTTTGGGGTTGGTGAAGTTTCCGCCCGTATTAATCAAATTTCAAAAATAAATAAACCGTAATAATTTTGGACACTATGACTAAAATATTGCACACCCACACAACACAACGAAAACTAGAGCAGTTCTGAAGTGAAAAATTCTTTAGAATAAATAGTTGGGAGTGATTTGAAACTCGATGAAACGAAAAAGCGACCCGATGAAACGAAACGAAATAGCAACACTTTTTTAACACGCTTATATTAACACACAACACACAACAAGAACCTGGAACAAGCCAAGTGAGCTGGAACAATTCTGGATAAATCTGGATGAAGTCTGGAAAAGTCTGAAAATCTCTGGAAACGTCTGGAAAGAGCCTGGAAATTTCTGGAAAGGGTCGGAAAAATTCTGCCAAAGATTCCAAAAGACCTGGGGATCATTTTCCAGAATCCGGATCAGTCTGTACAAGTCTGGATAAGGTCTGGATAAATCTGGATAAAGTCTGTAAAACTCTGGATAAGTCTGGTAATTGTCTGGAAATCTCTGGAAACGTCTGGAAAGAAATTGGAAATTTCTGGAAAGGGATGGAAAAATTCTGAAAAAGGTACCAAAAGACCTGGGGATCATTTTCCAGAATCCGGATCAGTCTGTACAAGTCTGGATAAATCTGGATAAAGTCTGTAAAACTCTGGATACGTCTGGATATTGTCTGGAAACGTCTGGAAAAAACTTGGAAATTTCTGGAAAGGGTTGGAAAAATTCTAGAAAACGTCCCAAAAGAGCTGGGGATCATTTTCCAGAATCCGGATTAGTCTGAACAAGTCTGGATAAAGTCTGGATTAATCTGGATAAAGTCTAGAAAACTCTGAAAAGCTCTGGATAAGTCTGCATAATGTCTGGAAATCTCTAGAAACGTCTGCAAAAGGCCTGGAAATTTCTTGAAAGGGTAGGAAAAATTCTGGAAAAGGTCCCAAAAGACCTGGGGATCATTTTCCAGAATCTGGATCAGTCTGTACAATTCTGGATAAATCTGGATGAAATCTGGAAAACTCTGGAAAGCTCTGAATAAGTCTGGACAATGTCTGGAAAAGTCTGGAAATCTCTGGGGCTGACACGCTTTTATAATACATCGAACTAAAAAGTGAAAAATAAATATATTTTGAAAAAACTAAAAAACACGCTTTTATAGTAAATTGAACTAAAAAGTGAAAAATAATTTCTTATATAAACAGAAAATATTAATGAATAAAAAATACGCTGTGTCTAGCCTCCCGGCACCGGTATTTATACGAATCCCGGTTATGACGTGTTTTCGATGACTCCATCAACGACCGCCGGCGCCGGGATTTATCGTGGGTCCCGGCTATTGGATTCAAAATTCAAAGTGGTGTTTCTCATGCTAGTTGAAGCTGTGATTAATCCGGAAAAGGTGTATTATTGTTTTTTGTTGTGATATTGGTAATTGTAATTGTAATTGTTTTTTGTTGTGAGAGTGGTGAGTACCTACTTCCTTAATCCACTTTTCGTAGTAATGGTTTAAAAAGGGAATAGTATGGTTTATTTTCATTTATTATTCAGGACTATACCTTTTTTAACAGCCTGTATCTCTGAAATAGGGTACTCTTATTGGACCCATGTTCATAGGAATTTTTGCTCTTAATTTGAGATGTAGAATCCGCAGCTAAAATATTAACCTCTAATTTTTGGCACCCTGTGTAATGTTGCTGAACGGCGTTGCTGTACAAGATCAAATGCTGAACCAACTTTCAAAATGACCCTGTACCTACATATAATAAA